CATTGAGGAGCAGTTTAGATGGCTTGTCCAAAACTACTTCCACCACGGATTGGCGCTTTCTCGGGTCTTATTTAGTGTGATTCCCCTAAGATAATCCTCAAACAGATTGTCTGTGAATAGATAAGGCCTTATTCCTATTGCTCCTTTTAGTATGACAGCATTTTTTTCCAAAACGTCTGGACTGATGAATGCTATTGCTTCACTAATAAGAAATGTTCGTCCTTCAAGCCCCTGCACTGTCGCTTCTTTCAGAAATCTTTTTGCGGGTTCATAGTTGCTCCATAAGATGACCACTTTAATGTTTTCAGCGTCTTTGAGTTTTCTCACGATTGATGTTATTTTTCCTTTGTATCCCGAACGTGTGATGTACTCCGAAAACGCGATGCAGAACGTCTTTCGGTCGTAAGCTTCTCGTTCCAACGCGCGTAAGCCGTATCGTCCGTAGGAATGGTCAATGGCTACGGCTGCAATATACGTCCACTGATAATACTCTATTATGTCAACCATGGCTTTAGCTTGTTGGCCATCGGGTGGAATGGTGCGAAAAAAGGAGTTAAAATACGGTGAGCTCAACTCTTCGCTGGTAGCGAAAGGACTTATGGTTGGAATGGCAGCCACATTCAGTAAACTTGAGACGAGAGTTGTGCTACTTGAATCTTCAGTGCCAATAACCGCAGAAATCGGTGCCGTTAGATAATCCATATTTATTGTAAGCTTTGAACCAAAGTTATCGCCTTGTCCTTCAAGCAGTTCGTTGAGATAATTACTTTTCACGAAGTCATTGGCTATTTTCATGGCGAGAACAGGTGTGTCGCAGTAGTCTCGAATGTCGAAGCCCAGTGTCACATTGGGTAGAAGCTCAGGATCCTTGTTAATACGTTCGATTGCAAAAGTTATAGCCTCGGTGTATCCAAGGCCGAAAGCGTAAAACTCACCGCATTTATCCTGGGCGGTTCTGACGTGAAGAGGAAGCAGGGCTCCTAGAGTAACGTTGCCAGGCTGGTAGAATCGTTTTTGGTTCGATAGAGGAAGCTGGCGAAGAGTGCATCAATAACCATAACAATAGGAAATGAAACTGGGACATTTTTTTTCTCGTTAAGTCAGTTTAGTTTCATGTGCATCAGATCAAGCTAGAAAAGAAAAGAAAACGAAAATCTTCATTAATATATATGCCCTTAATAATTCATTTTTTGTTCCTTAGTTGTCGTCATTAAAAACGTTAAAGGATCATACCCTTTAGAAAAATCCACTTACAGTCAAACCAGGTCAAGCATTCCCGTCGCTAGCAAACTAATGAATTCATTAATGGAAAAATGATTTCGTTTGTTGATTCAATAATCCATTCATAAAATGAATAATCCAACAGTCAAATTGGACTTCGATTCAATAATTAAATGTTGATTTGGTTTATGAACAAAATCTACCTGTTCTTTATTCTTGTCTGTTGAGTTCAATCGTATTCGCTTCCCTTTTCCTGCCGTTTACGGTTGCGTTTTTAATTGCCTTTAATCAAAATAACAGCTAGAAGAGACAGACCGCAAACGCAAAGAAACTGACAAAGGCCGGGGATCGAAATCCACCAATCACGGCACATACACTGACCTTAGTTTGACTATCGTGTTTTCTAAGAGGTCAAGTCCGTTGCACTGATTACTGGAAGCAAAACGGGCGTCGATAAAACCCGGAACATGGAACATCCCGGAACATTCCGGAACATTCCGGAACATCCCGGAACATCCCGGAACATGAAAAAATTAAAACATTTTTCGCGAAAAAAAAATATAATAAAATAATAATAACAAAATAATTTTTTAAAAATTAATAAGAACGTAAAATAACAAAAAAAAATAATGAAATAATCAAGAAAAAGAAACTGGTATCCTATCTGAGTATGAGAAAAGAATATTCGGTCGCAACAAATTAAAATTTGTTGGGCGAGTGAAGGTTCATGCAAATGACAGTAATGAGTGAAGGCTTGCTTCTAAATTCAAAATATATTAAAATGGGTCACGAGGAGGGGGTTTCAAGCTTTTCACACACAACCACCTCTTGTAATTGTTTGCCATGAGTTAATCATTTGGCGGTTATCCATTTACGGTTCTGCGATGGTCTGAAATGTCAGTGCAGTATTTCATGTCAAGCCAACGTATAGTCTCCTTGTATATAATCGACATTTGCTTACTTGAGGTGCTTTGCTTCACTTGAGGTCGCATGAATTACAGACAAGGCGGCTCTGTAAACTTAAGAAGAGTATAGGGGCTCCTGTCTTTGGATTTTAGTGGACAATACTCACATTCTAGTAGTTTCTATACTGTTTACAGTCAGCATGATATTTCAGACGTCTCCTCGAGTCGCAAGAGGAGTTTGCGGGGAGACGACTAAAATTCAGGCTAGCTGATAACAGTTAGAAACTACCGCTGCGCTACCACTGCCTCTGCAACTATTCTGCTGCGAACGTGAATGTTTAATTTAATTATCCAAGTCCAAAGCGACGAGCCCCTAAGCTCTTCTTACGGTCGCAAAGCCGTAAATTGATAACCGTTAAACCGCATGGCAAACATTTACAAGAGGTGGCTGTGTGAGGAAAATTTCCTGCAGAAAATTCCCCTTTCTCTTTACCTTTATCAAAACTTAAAGACCCGGTTAAAAATGTGTAGCGAACCTAATGCTTTTGAATGGAAACATTACATTTCGTGTACATGCATTGTCATTAAGTTCGCCATTTGTGAAATCTGACGTTTGAATCGAGCCTTATTATCACTTAATTAAGTCCAGGGAAATTCAATGAAAATGTCCATCCATGCCCAAAACTTAAAATTAAACTAAAGAAACACTTTATATTATACCTAGCCTGCATAACAAGCGTTTCCAATAGAGTTATTGCGCGAGTTAGCCCCTCCCAGCCCCTCCTTCCTCTTTTTTTACCCTCTACAACTTAGTCTCTTGCAGAAAACTCGCGCGGAAAAGCTTGCTACGCAGGCTATTTTTAAAGTTATTGTCTAGTCACAATAAAGAAGGGACAGCTCGGTATGTTTGAATGATTATTATTAAATGTTGAAACATACCTAGCTGCCACTGCACTGCACAAAAATAAAAAAATTATGCAGCCTGAGCTCCATTACGTATAGAACCCAGAAAAATCAATAGAAAGAGATTCTCACGTCTGTAAAACATCCGAAGTCTTCAAATAACCTCACTTCTTTGTTTGATAAACTGCACTGAACCCTGTTCAAATAAGCTTATGTACTTTCTTCAGTAATATGCCCATCAAAGTCTGGTACAGATATTTTTATAGAAGTACACTGTCCATGAAAAAAAAAATATATGTCATATTATTTCATTACCCTGAAGTAGTTTTCGTAGTTAAGTATAACTGTTAGAAAAACCAGAGTTGATTTATAATCTTGATGTTAGTAGGTTCTCGCATGGAGTTTTGACTTGAATTGCATTGTAAAATATAAGCCAGCTATTACTTTTGCAGAAATGCACTAACCCTATTAAGAAAAAGGGCTTGATGTAATGTAAACTCTACTGTAATATAGAAAAATTTTTATAGTTTACTGAGCCAGATTTAACAATCAGAAAAGCTCCCAAGCACGACATACACGCCTGTTCGGAGTTGGTTTCCGTAAGCTTAACACAGTAAAACAACTATGAAGTTTGAAGAACAGCTATTGCATGAACACATAGAAAAGAATGACACGTACCTTTTGAACAAGTTTGTGGTCTAAACTCTATCAAAGATAAGGGTGAAAATATTTGTTAACAAAAGCTGGACTGCGTCGTACAAAAAAGCAGCTTTTGTTTTCTTCAGATCTGCGTAGTTTGTTTGTTTGCGCGGGCGGAGAGAGTTTGTAGCCGCGACAATTTCGCGTCAAAAACAGGGTGTCTTGCTTGGGTTCAGTCTTCCATCGTCCAATAGTTGAGTCATTGTTTTGCGTCGCTATCATTACATGGTATATTGATCGATCAAGGAGAAAATGATCGATTCAAGATAAGACAAAAAAAAAATTACTTCGAAAAAGTACATATTCTAGAACATTTTCAAAAATAATTATAAAACAGCAATTACAATGATTACCCGCCCGTGTTCGGTATTGTCGTATAAATATCTTTAAAACAGTATTCAAATACAGCTTTTTAATTTCCTTTCTCAATATCAGTTTCGACATAAGTGTTTGTAGACGTAATTCATTGCATATTTGCTCTCACCTTTCAGCACCATTCAAGAGTGTTGTAAAAGTGTAGCGGTCGTATTTGACTTCATTTTTGACTAGTATCAAAGGTATGGTCACAGCCACTACACTTTTGACTTCATCTTTGACCTGCGTCAAAGGTAAAGTCAAAGTTACCAGCATATTTGACAACGACTTTGATAAGGGTTAAAGGAATAGCAAAGCATTGATTCATTTGACTTCATCTTTGACGCGCGTCAAAGGAGAAGTCAAAGTTGTTAACAATTTGACTTCACCTTTACCGAGGTCAAAGGAGTAAGCAAAGAGCTTATATATTTGGCGACATCTTTGACGCGCGTCAAAGGTGAAGTCAAAGCCAATACCATATTTGACTTAACTTTTGACTCGTGTCAAAAGTGCAGTAAATCCAGTTTTTCGTCCCGTGCTGAACTTTGGGACCTGATGTTGGTAGCTGATATACTCAAACCAGGAAAAAACATTTTTTAAACTAGGATTAAAGAGTAGCACCACCTGTTTGCGAGGAAAAAGAAGAAAATGGTTTGTTGTCATCAAAATGAAAAACTAAAGTACAATTAAGTATAAATTTGAGACGAATAATTAGATGAATTAAGTTACAAACGTTTCAATAAATTTCGTTATGTATTTGTAAAGTAGACTAAGCTCGTGTTAACAATAATGCCAATTGTGCATCCTTATTGCTTTTAATGGAACTTTATAAATTACCATTGTAAATGGTAAATTAAAATGACAACATCGTGCCAGACAAATATGTCTCTCAAGTACTATTTCAAAAGTTAACAAAAA